GTAGTGGCACACGCCTATAATCCCAGCTACTAGGGAGACTGAGGCAGGAGAATTGCCCGAACCCAGGAGGTGGAGGTTGCAGTGAGCCGAGATGGCACGCCACTGCATTCCAGCCTGGGCAACAGAGACTCCATCTCAAACAAACAAACAACAAAAATTCACATACACGGGTATGTCACACCTTAATAAAAATATTCCTACAGTATTTAATTTTATGCCAAATATTTTGCATCTCAAAATTAGCTTTATTATACAAAATTCACTTAACCCCATTTCAAAGATAGGTTAATGAATTCAAGTAGAGAACACTTTATTATGCTATTTTTTAGAATGAATGCTAATAGCAGCTATTATTCATTAAACTCTACAAATCCACACAATAAAAAAAGACAAAGAAAAAATGTGTAATAAACGTACCTTAAGCATCACATTAAAATACAAGGTCGGAAAAAAGAAGCATACAACATGAAGCGCTAACCTGACAAACGTAAAATCTTTATATAAAAATTCTATGAGGATTAAAAAATTGAATCAGGTTCTGAGTACCAGTGATCTTTTGAAAAAGCATCTGAATTGCAATCGGCATATTAATAATTTATACAAATTAAGAAATTAGTTCTTACACTAGTTATTCTCATTCTTTCTTTCTTAAGAGATAGCGACCCACCAGAGTGCCCAGGATAGTCTTGAACTCTTAAGTCATCTTCTCACCTCAGGCTCCCAAGTAGCTAAGACTATACATGCAAGGATCATGCCCAGCCCTAGTTATTATTTCTAATAGCACAGTCACGAATGTTCCCTTACTTTACAGTATTTATGGTTTATTTTACTTACCCATACTCACTATAAATTCCAAACTACTAGAACTTTGACCAAAAGCTTGGTATGTTAAACTGAATTTTTTTTTTTTTTTTTTCCTGAGATGGAGTCTCACTCTGTTGCCAGGCTGGAGTGCTGTGGCGCCATCTCGAAAGCTACTTGAGGCTGGTGTGGTGGCTAACACCTGCAATCCCAACATTTTGGGAGGCTGGGGCAGGAGAGCTGCTTGAGCCTAGGAGTTTGAAACGAGCCTGGGCAATGTGGTAAGACCCTGTCTCTCATTAAAACAAACAAAACACACACACACCAAAACTACTTGATCTCTCCCACTTGATTTTGAGATTCCTCAAAAGGAGATAACCTTCCAACAGCATTTTTTATACTATGTACAATCTCAACTCTACTTTATAAATGAAACATTCTAAACATACTGTTATTAAATCCTGGTTTTCAGATTAAGTAAATTGTGTTGAAGAAAGCAGAATTCAGAGGAAAAAATCATAAATTGATCTAGGTTACTGGCTTGCTTCTGTCTCTCTTTTAATCTTTTTTTTTTTTTGGAGATGGAGTTTCACTCTTGTTGCCCAGGCTGGAGTGCAATGGCGCAATCTTGGCTCACCGCAACCTCCACCTCCTGGGTTCAAGTGATTCTCCTGCCTCAGCCTCCCAAGTAGCTGGGATTACAGGCATGCGCCACCACGCGTGGCTAATTTTTTGTATTTTTAGTAGAGACAGGGTTTCTCCATGTTGGTCAGGTTGGTCCTGAAATCTCGACCTCAGGTGATCTGCCCACCTTGGCCTCCCAAAGTGCTGGGACTACAGGCGTGAGCCACTGTGCCAGGCTTTTTTTTTTTTTTAAGACAGTCTTGCTCTGTCACCCAGACCAGAGTTCAGTGGTGCGATCATGGCTCACTGCAATCTTGACCTCCCAGGCTCAAGTGATCCTCCCAGCCTCAGTCTCCTGAGTACCTGGGACTACAGGCATGTGCCACCACACTCAGCTAATTTTTGTACTTTTTGGTAGAGACAGGATTTCACCATGCTGCCCAGGCTGGTATCGAACTCCTGGGCTCAAGCAATCCAACTGCCTCTGCCTTCCAAAGTGCTGGCATTACAGGTGTGAGCCACTGCACCCTGCCTTCCCTCTTTAATCTTTCTCAAGGGATATAGCAAACTGATAAAAACCTCAGTATATTATTTGTTGCTGAGCTAAATGTATACAGTCTGTTTCACTGAGCAAGTCACTCTGTCCTATGAAGACATAAACCGTACTATGAATAAAATGTATATTTTTTTCTTTAAATTGGTTCCTCCCTACTTTATGACCCTTGTTGCCCAGTTTATAATCTCTGCTGCTATTATAGAAAGCTGCTTTGTAACTACTTTAACCTAGTGGCAGTCATTTTAATCATTTGAGAAACCATCACCATATTTAACTCCACACGTCTAACTACTTCTATTTTAGCATGACACGTGCATCCACTTCATTAGACTGCGAAGTCTTAGAACTCAGATATCAAAAATGGCATTTCCTTGTAATTTTTCTAGAGCGAAATATTAATTTTACACACACACACACATACATACACACCCACCCACCCTGGAGTCTTTGTTGCCCAGGCTGGAGTGCAATGGTACGATCTCGGCTCACTGCAACCTCCGCAGTCTGGGTTCAAGCGATTTTCCTGCCTCAGCCTCCTGAGTAGCTGAGATTACAGGGGCCCACCACCACTTTCAGCTAATTTTTGTATTTTTAGTTTCATCATGTTGACCAGTCTGGTCTCGAACTCCTGACCTCAGGTGATCCGCCTGCCTTGGCCTCCCAAAGTGTTGGGATTACAGGCGTGAGCCACCATGCCCGGCCAATATTTTTAATTTAAAAAATCTTAAAAGACAATTTTAGCTATTTTAGCTGTACATATTTAACCAGTATATCAGTATCTGTACCTATGTATATGCAAACACAAAATTTTGAGAACCAACCAGGAACTTCATATAACAGGTACTGTGGTAAGAGAGTGACAGTTTGAAAACAGCTGTATTTATCACTAAGGCTAGGTGGTATACCTTTTATCTAGTTACTTGGTATCCTACCTACTCAGTATGTACAATTTTAGATGTAATACTAAAGTAATCATTGATGTTATTCAATATAAATTCCAGTTTATGAAAGTTATTATAGTTGGCCCTTGAACAACCCAGGTTTTAGCTCTATGGGTCCACTTATATGTGGATCTTTTTCAATCAAACTCAAATAAAATATACAGTACGCGGATCAAAAATACAGCATTCATGGCATGCGAAACCTGAGTATGCAAAGGGCAGACTTTTCATACACCAGGGTTCAAATTCCTTTGCCAGGATTTTGGCAAGGATTGTCTGCGTATGTTTCTACAACCTGATACTTCCCGGATCCCACTACCTTCCGGCTCTCAGCATCATAAAGTTACTTGCTTACTCTCTTCTTAAAGTTTACTTGCTTCTTCATAAAGTTTACTTGCTTACCCTCTTCTTAAAGACAGGTATCCATATTCTTAGTCCATTAAAATAAAATTAACTGTAAGCTTAGTTAGCAATGAGATGATAATCTGTTTTTAAAGGGCATTAAAAGGACTGAGAAACACATGAAGACAGTTCTGATAACCTTGGTATTCTAAAACAGGCTGTCAACTTTGCAAATACAAAAGTAGCAAAATCTCTGCACCTCAGTTTCCCCACCTCAAAGAGAATTACTGCAACCAGGGTCCAAATATTGTGCTATTTCTGAAGACAGACATTAATCTTTGGCATGGTAACTGGAACAAAATGGGCATTTAATTATTAGTTTCCTTCTCCCCATCAAAAACACAGACTCAGTGTTTCTTGAAACACCTGAAAAGATAATTCACAGGTTGCAGATAATAGTGATACTGTCATCCTGACTGTTTCTAACACTTACTGCGGAATTCTTGGCATCTCCAATATTTAGAATTCTAAACAGAAGTTACTTAAATTTTCTTTTTCTCTCTCTTTCTTTGAGACAGTGTCTCACTCTGTCGTCCAGGCTGGAGTGCAGTGTGACTCGATTATGGGTCACTGCAGCCTCTATCTCTTGGGCTCAACTGATTCTCTTGCCTCAGCCTCCTGTGTAGCTGGGATCACAGGTGTCCACCACCACACCCAGTTAATTTTTTTTTCTTGTTAGTAGAGATGAGGTCTTGCTATGTTGCCCAGGCTGGTCTTGAACTCCTGGGCTCAAGAGATCCTCCTGTTTGGACCTCCAAAAGTGCTGGAATTACAGTTGTGAGCCACCATGCCCAGCCTACAGTTATTGAAATTTCTTTTCTTTTTTTTTGTTTTGAGACGGAGTCTCTCTCTGTTGCCCAGGATGGAGTGCAGGGGTATGACCTTGGCTCACTGCAACCTCCGCCTCCTGGGTTCAAGCGACTCTACTGCCTCAGCCTCCTGTGGAGCTGGGACTACAGGCGCACGCCACCATACCCAGCTAATTTTTGTATTTTTTTTTTTTTTTAAAGTAGAGACATTATTTCACTATGTTGGCCAGACTGGTCTCGAACTTGACATTGGCTTACATTCTTTTTAAAAAGTTTGATGTTGAGTAGATTTTAATTAAATGGAGATTTTTACTGAAATTTTCCCTAAAAATAAAATTCTGTATTTGTAATGTAAGTCAGGAGTAAATACAGGTTTTGGATAAATGTGTATGCTTCCTAAGTCAATTCTCAGAGTCACTTTTAAGATCACTCCAGCTGTTTGGGGTATCCAACTTGGGAAATTCAGAGCCTCGGCATTTAGAAAGAAAATCCTTTCTCAACTTTAATCTGATGAAAAGTAAATCGTTCCTTGAAAGTCCATGATATGTCACAAAGTTAAATGCACCATCTGGCAAAATCAAATTAGAACAGGTTCAAAATTTACAACTATCTAACAACATTCAACTATTTGGTCAAAACAGAACCTAATTGGCAATTTTGACTTTCACATCACAAGAATGTACTGAGAAGTTTGGTATTCCCCAGGGCAATTTTTTTTTTTTTTTTTAGCGCAAATGACAAAAACAATTACCATTTAAAGTCAATTCTAGATTCATAAAGACGATGAATATTCCAGGTTTTTAGAACAATCTACTGTCACATCAGAAAAACAGAATGAACATAACATCATTTGGAGTCAATTAAAATTGAATCCTGAAGGAAAATAATAAAATATGCTCAGTTCTTATGAGTCACACATTGAATAACAGCACTTTTCAAAGTCAAAGTTAGTTCCCATTTTCCAGGATGAAAATGACTGTGAGGCATTAGGTGATTAGCTATTAGGTGATTAAAACAACTATTAATAAATCGGGGTAAGGGTCTCAAATTTGGTGCCACCCAAAAAGGTGGTAACATGATTGACTAGTTTTATAACACAAAAAGGTTTCAGTTATTTATGTAGATAATTCAGAGATAATATATCTCAGAATATCAGGACAACCATCTACTCTTGATGCCTTAACATAGAAAAACAGCTTAGTATGGAGTTCAGTCTTGACTGGTTAGGTGCCTAACATCCCAGATCCCAGTACCTTCCTGGCTCTCAGCATCATAAAGTTAGGTAACTCAGTTCCCTCTGAACAGAGGCAAGCGCCAGCCAACACAACTTTAGTAAGGAAGACACAGTACCTTGGTGAAACAAATTATAGCTGAATGTAAGAAATCAATCTTCAGACACTGTAGGAGCAAGGTACTGATGAGGAACGGAAAGGCCATCTTTTCCTTACCCTCTATCTGCCGTATGTGAGTCCAAGCAAGTCTTTTAACTCTTGCAGTTTCAAGTCAGCAAAAAGATAATTTTGCCTGCCTCACAAAGTGCTGCAAATATTAATGCTTTCAGCACAATAAAAATGCTACAAATAGATTTTTCAAACAAAATATGAACATAATATGAACATAAAAGGCAACTTCAATGTGCACCTAGAAAAGATTAAATTCTACTAACTGTATCTTCAAAGGCAGAAAATATTTATAGCACTATATTCTAGTTAGATGGAATACCGTTATACACAATGAAGTATACTATTGTGGAGATACTGAAAAGTTTTTCTGTGTTAAGCTTAGTAACTACAAGAAACAAAATATTTAGAGGCAGAAAGTTGGAGACAACTAAAAAAATTAAAAACACTATCTTAGTCTTGTTTTGCTGAAGGACCTACTAACACACAACTTTGACGAGCAAGAAACAAATATATAATGATCTAAACTGCTAAACAATATATTCAAAGGGATTCAATACTACATACAAGACTACAAGGGACCTTGAACGCTTTACTGTACTGTACAAATTGTGACAATGCTCATCTCCACATCATAGGGCTTTTACATATTTTCTGCTTCATCTCTACCAGCTTATTTCTGACAAACAATACACAAAAATATTTTCAGCAAACATGACTCAACGTTGAATTGGAAAAGCTACACATAAAAGAGCCATGTAAAAATAAGCTGTGCCTGGGACACCCTATTATTATTACTTTTATCCTTTAGGAGTTAGACATTCTGGTAGCTTGTACAAATTCTGCCACTGAAAAAGTACTAAAAATACTGAACTTTTAAACTATGTGTCTGCTTACGATACCTTAAGATCTAAAAGCACTGTAAGAAACACACCTACCCAAACCTGTAAAATGTAACCTCAACCTTATCACAAGCCAACCTGCGGACTTGCCTAATCAGATGCTACTTGAATGAATTAAAATGTATCCACCTTGAAAAGATTTTTCGCTCATAATTTTAAATTACGGTTTTAAATGACCACAACATGTTTATCGTAGAAAACTTAATGGTCAAAACTTTAAAATCCAAAAAACGAGACCTTGTGATGGATCTATGACGTCCACTTAACTTCCGAAGCAATGGAATTAACTAAAACTAGATAAAATAGGCACAAATACAACTTCTAACTGTAACAGACTAATCGAAGTATTTCCCTACCAAACTAAACAGTTTTTTTTTTTTTTTTTTACATAATCAGCTATGCTAGTCCTTGATAATGTTAAGCTAGTCCTTTGGGATCAACCAACCAAGTGACTTCCTTATCAAAACAAGAACTTGGCCTTTTCCACTACGTGTACACTGACTTATGAAAAAAGGTTAAAAAAATAATGTAGTAACTGTCTCACAGGGATCCAACGTAAGACTTGGATTTCACAAAAATCTGCAAATAATTCAGTTTCTTTCCTCAGAATGCATGCACTCATTTAAAAATGGAAGTCTACAAGAGAACGTTGCTGCAGTAACATCCTACTGCGTGACATGAAATGTAGGGAACGAACGTTTCTTTTTTTTCTTGCTGAACTCGGGAGAGGCCCAAGGGAGGTGGAGGGAGCAACACCGAGGTGAGGAAAAAACGAGCGCCGCCGCTCAGCCCGGGGAGGGCATCCTCCGACCTCCGTGAGTGGCCGGTCTCTCCGGCCGCCGGAGCACCCCTCTCACCCCAGGCCCTGGGGACGGAGGACGGAGATAAAATGGCCTCGACGCGGCGGAAGTGTTCCCCGCTGGCGGGAAGGTAGAGCGGATAACGAGACTGGTGCTGCGCCGGGCCCGAGAGGCCTTTCGGGCCCTGCCAGCCCCTTACCGGCCGGGGGCGGCTGCGCCC